AGAATGTCTTTCAGTGGTTGTCCTTACTGCTAATACACGCTTGGCAGATGGAAGTCACCTAATGAATCTGGTTAGTTTCAGGGACTTCCTGAAGCTATTGAGTTGTTTACTTCCTGAAGTTTAAGAAGCTTCCCATAGGGTGAAATGTTCACCTCCACTCAGAACATTCTGCAAAGAACTTCCTTCCAAGATTTAATGTTTTGTATTGGAGGCTGTTGCTATACAACACCTTTATACATACACTCATGGTAGTCATTTTAGTACACATGATAGGAACTCAGCAAAATCAACTGAATGATAAATGAATGAATGAATGAATGAGCAAAGAGGGTATTAGTCACGTGCTATGTGCTTTGCTTAACTTACTTCCTGGTTGTGGGCTTATACTTAGTGATGTGTGTGACACTGTCAAGGTCAATGCTCTGGCATAAGACCTTACACATTACATAGTAAACGAAATGATGGATTTCCCCTCAGTAAGGCTTATTTTTAGATCTCATTTTTTTATTCTAAAGTGAACATTCTTAGTTGAAATAACTGAAGACCTAAGTAGCTATGACAAGCAAGCAAGAAGAACAGAATACTCGCTTGGCAGATGACTGGTCCAGTACTGGACAGAGAGGATGGATAGCCTATTTTCCAGCTGTGGTTTTATAGGTTAGGGGCCTGCAAGGAAGCTCTACTGACTTTCCGAAATGCCTTATGCTTTGGAAGCCAAGCAAAGACAAAAACGTTTGAAGTTGTGTGGCCACAATGTCCGAGGAGGAAGGGAAAGGGCAAAGGAAACAGGCTGGGTCCAAAGGGTGAACAGGTTTCTTTTACACAGCTCAGGTGGTTTTGGGCTGAAGGGGACAGGGAGATAGACAAGGGTATGGTGTGCTGAGCCAGCTCTGAGATGTCCTCCTCCCGCCCCTCCTCTGGTCTACCTTCCTGACCATCCGATCTGACAGTTATGGGGAAGCGGTGTGAGGATTTCCTTTGGTCCCTGGCCCTGGGTATCTTGGCACCAAGAGGCAATTCCTTGTCACCACAATACTGTGCCCTGACTGTCCCTGTCCTCTGGGCCAGCACCCCGCATCTCTACCTGGCCTACCCTCACCTCCTTGCTGCTTCTTATTGAAGCAGCCCTGTCTACCGTTCCCTGCCTGGAGGTACGGTTCCGATCCCTGTAACCTGCTGCCCTTGCTTCTTTTTCCCAGAGCACATCTTATGTCCTAACACACAAAGGACTTCACTCAGCCGTGATTGTCTATTTTCTGTTCACAAGGTGAGCTCCTAAGGGCAAGAACCCAAGTGCTCAGACCCCTGTCCAACGTGGGTCAAGTGATGCTAATTCTCCGATGTGTGAGGCTGTGCGCATGGTGATCCCAACTTCTAAAGTTCTTCCATTCAGCAGGTGGTGTGGGCACCAGGGTCTTCCCACCATTCTACCTGTCCTTTGGGTGTGTAATAATGTGCCAAGGGCCTCCTAACACAGTGGTCAGGAACAGAGCCTGGGTGGAGGTGCCTGTGTAGTGAGAGCGGTGACGCGTTGTACTGCCACGTATATGAGGTCTGAGGACAGAGTCTTCAACTCTGCTTCAGTGCTCCCAGCATCCATGTTTCTCATTCATTCTCCCCACCTGGTCCAAAGTCTTACATCACACAGGTTCTAATAGGTAAAACCCCAGAGTCAGATGTAGAGGAAGATGCTGAGAGAGAGGTCAAGAGGAGAGGGAACGAGCCATAGCCACCTTTACCTCACTAGCTTCCCAGCAGAAAAGAGATCAAATTTCTGTTTCCTCCACCTATATCCTCTCTCTGCCCAGCCATCTCACCTCCTGCCTGTCTGTACAGACCTCCAGACCTCAATGGTTAGCTAGTTGCCAGCTCCACTCTCTGATCTTCAGACAGGCTTTCTTTGTACAAGCAAGGCACCGCCACAGTCATATTGCACCATCCATTTTCATGATGTTTCAGCTGTGAGTCAGCCTTTAACAGCTGAGCCAGCTCTCCAGCCCCCTCCATCCATTTTCTGCCTTTCCCAGCCTTATTTCCTGTGTCTTCATTAAAACCTTTGACAGAAATGTCATAGAGTCCAAAGGACGTCGAATACAGGCTTCCGTCTTGATGATTGTTGTCCTCAACGAGGCTTGGCGGGGGTGGGGGGTAGGGGGTAGGGGGTGGGGGCCGGGGTAGGGGGCAAGGGGTGGGGTGAGGGGCAGGCACTACCACTTCCATGGCAGCCATGGTGTGAGGACTTTAACCCTCTGAGGAGCCTGATATCCATTTCACAGATGAGGAAATGGGGTTCAGTTTTGAAGGAGGCCATGGGTATTTTCAGTCTTTATTTACAAATACCAATACTGAAAGTGGTTTATGGATAATAGTTATTTTCGTTCCGAGGATCAAAACTGAAGTGTGTCGGGACGTCTTACTATAACATGTGTCTGGTTTTCTTTTCCTGAGAAAATTAGGCCTTGTATACAGTTATTAGGATTGTCTGGCTAAGTGAAGCTTTTCAGGCTCCCGTCCTTACCTCTCTGCAGTGTCACTGAATCCCCTCTCAGCTCTCTGAACCCCTTTTCCTGGCTTCCCTGAAACTCCTCCTTCAGGGCCCACTGAGACTCCCACGTCCTCAAGGTTTCCCTTCTCCAAGGGGCAATTAGAGGTTCAGTACATTTCTTCTCCAGAACCCTGTTGTCTGTTGCCTCTCCCAGGACTGTAGACTGGAATGTTCTAGAATTGTGTCCAGCACCAGTGACAAACTGACTGGCTCAAATTTTCCTTCTATTCTCTTCTTATGGAAAAAAAGAGAAAATTTTCTTGTTTCTGGGTTTTGGTACAACTCCATTCCCCTCTAGGATGCGACTGTGTATTGTATGTTGATCCGCTAAATGCTTCCACACACCCTGTCGTCTTTGTGTACCATGGCTGTTTATAGTGTCAGCTCTGTCATCTCCCCTCAAGCATCTAAGGCTCAGGGGAACCAAAGGACTCCATCCAGGTTAGACAAGGAACAAGTGGCCACACTGGGAGAGGACGTGGGCCTACTGTGACTGAGTGTCATGTTGCCAGTCATCACGCAGACAGAAGGATATAGTCTTGGGAGAAGGGCACTTCTGAGGGAAGCTTGCGAGAGTTCTGGACACTGACTTTAGTTATCCCATGGCTGATGTCACATGCCCTAGCTAAACAACCATCTATCTTGATAAAGTGAGAGGGTGAGAACATGGGAGGCAGGAGCAGGGTCTCTCTGTCTTTTGCTGGACACAGTCTGTGTAGCTATAACAGAACAAGGTATCTGCGTTGTTGTTCTTTTTCACTTAAAAATTTGTATCCATCAAATAAAGAGGAAGAAAAAACCCCAGGCTGTCTGAAGTTGGGTTGATCTAAGTAAACCAGAGCTACTAAGGACCACATTTGGGATTCTGTTGTAGCTGTGTCTAATGCCAAACTCCAGATAAAGCGTTCAGTTTAGTAGATGAGTAAAATATGTCACAGATTAAGCTCTTAGGGAGAGTAGTGTTGTTGTGTCCTCTGCATTGAAACATTAGGACAGAGGGAAGCTCATAAGACTCAGGAAAATCATTAAACTTATAAGTCTCTGGATGCTCAGAAAGTTACAAGACTCAGGAGGACCCTCCCTAAGGCTGTATAAGCAGTGAATGGTCTCTGCAGGAGCGTCGTGAGGAGCTACCTGCCAGGAGGAATGAAGCTTTCTTGAGTCCTCACCCACACTGGGTGGTCTTCCTGGTGATGGAGCTGCCTTTTGGTCACGGAGCTTCTGCTAGTAAGTCTTCATCCCAATAAATTCGTTTATTCACTAATGCTACACTTGGGAGGAGTAGGTTTTTGATCTGATGTCAATGTTCTACAAGGAATGAGTGGATGTTTCTTCATGTCTGCCCAGGAAAAGCCACACAATAGGATTCCTTCAAATATCTAGAGGCTTTCATGGCAATGACTTGAAAGAACAAATAAATAACAAAGACAGAGTTCTTGCTTGCTAAAAGGAAACTCATTTGCATGAAAACGCATCTCCAGTTAGAAGCTTACTAGACTAATTTTCAAGAGTCCGTTAGAGAGTTTTCTAATGAACCATTTCAGACATTCCAAGGTATTAGCAACAAAGCAGGGTTCCTAGCTACGTTTTAACAGGGGGCACACTCAACTTCAGACATCTCACTATTGAACTGTGGTAAGGTGGTATTTTGGGGGTGTACCCTGTCCACACCACCAGAGTGCCAAGATGCCAAAGACAAAACAAAGGCCAGCAGACATCTGGCTTCCCACAAGTCATAGCCAGGGTTGGAAGGAGAAATCATACATCCTGGCTGGGCTCCCATCCAAATATGTAATTTTGGACATATTCCTTACTTTTGTCATACATGACTCTAGGCTTTATTGTCCTTCATAATATTATAGATTAGCCATGTGTCTAAGGCTAACTTATCTTGTCTGAAGCCTTCATATCCAGTTGTGGTGTCAAATTCAGATATATCAGATATATTGTAAATGTGGAGCAGCCCTAGAAAGGTCCAGGGCAGGGGTCCTGAGTGGGTCTTAATTTGTATTTCTACAGCAAGCATGAAAGTCTTTACAATAAGTAGGGTCAGCAAAGAACTTTACATGGTCCCATGTAGGTTCAGGTTGGAATTTGCTTCCAGGTGAGCTACAGTGGGTTGAGGTCACATGGCCAGATGATTTGTTGCCAATTCCCCCAAAAGATTCAGTTTTCAGAACTTTACATGTGTCAGAATTTGTAGGTAGAGGATTTTAATTCTATATGAACATTTCTTTGGTGCCCTGCTAGTGGTAACATCTATGGGGAATGCATTTAAATGTTTTCTCCATAGGGAAATAAAATCCACCTCATGAAGAAATGATTTGGACATTGCCATTTCTGGGATCCAGTGTGGCTAATACAGAGGACAATGAGAAATACTCAACACCATGGCTGTGGAGTCTATGATCACTGGAACAACACAAGGCAGTTATGTTCAGGACTCGGTACTTACAATGCTGGGGAGAGCTGGATTCAAGCCAGGAGACTTCGTAGCAATGACAGCTGAAAGAAAACAGCCTTCTGGTTACTTATCTAGAACACTATACTTATCAGTAATACTGGACAAAAGATAATTTTTCTGTACTACTATTGGATGGGGTTTGTTTTAGTAGTACATCTCTCTCTCTGAAATTTCCATTGTGCTTTGAACAGGACTAGCCTCACAGGTTCATGTGTTTTAATGCTTGGTGCACAGTTGGTAGAACTATTCAGGGTGAATTAGGAGGCGTGGCCTTGCTGGAGAAAGTGTGTCACTGGAGGTGGTCTAAGAGATGTCAAAAGACGGTGCCATTCCCAGTGAGCTCTCCTTGCTTGCTGTTAGGGATGTGAGCCCTCAGTTTTCCCCCCACCATGCCTTCCCTCTGCCATCACAGACTCTAACCCTCTGGAACCCTAATCCAATTAAATATTTTCTTTTATAAGTTGCCTTGGTCATGGTATCTTGTCACAGCAATAGAAAAGTAACAAAGGCTGGCAACTGTCTTTGAATGTCCAACTAGCAAAGCAAACTCAGGCAGCTCTCTTGTACACCCACCCGTGTCAACATTCCTTGCTCCAAGTGGTAGAATCGATGCCCAGACATTGCAGAGAATTCACGAGAATGCCACTGCATAATTTAAGGTTCTTAGAGAAGCAGAATATTCAACACTTGCCAGCCATCATGGGAGCTAGCGGTGTTAGATAAATGCCATTTTTTCAGTTATGACATATTTGCAAAGATGGGTTTTGGCACTTGCTGAGATAAAAAAGCAAGCACCAGGAAAAATCAGTATGGAAGGCTGGAAGGATGGCTTAGTGGTTAAGAGCCCTCACTGCTCTTTCAGAGGACACAAGTTCAGTTCCCAGCACCCAGACTGAGAGGTTCACAGCCACTGTGAACTAGCTCCAGGGATCTGGTGCCCTTCTCTGACCTTTTTGGGCATCTACACACACACATAGAAAACCCCCTCCAAATACATCAACAGAAATAAAAATAACCCTTAAAAAGTTCTAGTATGACCAGAGTAGTGAATGGCTTTAATACTACTACTTGGGATGCAGGAAGAGGTGAATCTCTGTGAGCTTGAGGCCAGCTGGTGTCTCATAATGAGGTTCCTGGGGTTTAGATAATTTGTGTGTTTGTGCATATTCATGAGTATGTGAGTACAGAAGTGTGGGTGCGTGTACACATATGTGATATGTGTGTAGAGGCAGAGGATAAGCTTAGGTGACACTATTCATGTACCAGATTTCCACCTTGTTTTTGAGGTGGAGTCTCTCACTGGAAGTGACCAAGTAAGTTAGGTTAGGTGTCTATTGAACCCCATGGACCTGCCTGTCTACCTCTCCCAACCCTGGGATTATAAGTACATATCATCATGAGCAGATTTTATTTTATTTTTCTTTTCTTTTTTGTTGGGGAGGAGGATTGAGACAGGGTTTCTCTGTATAGCGTTGGCTGTCCTGGAACTCACTCTGTAGACCAGGTTGGCCTTGAACTCACAGAGCTGTACCTGCCTCTGCCTTGCAAGTGCTGGGATGAAAGTCATGCGCCACCACCGCCTGGCTCTTATTTTATTTTTCAGTGTGGGTTCTGAGTATTGAACTTTGCAAGCGTGCTACCAACTGAGCCGACATAACTGCTAAAGAAACAGAACTTTATAGACTCCCTGTGGTGAGAGGCAGCTGTGAGAATTTCACTGAGACGGACTCTCAGGTATAATTCAGCGTGAGCTCAGATGGGGAGACGCGAATAATCCTCGATTGTTCTCTTTCACTCTTCCAAACCACTCAGTGCGTCCTTCTCAGCCTATCTCCTTCAAAATACCCAGGCTCTCCCACCATCACGACCAACCGCCGCCACCGCCACCACCACCACCACCACCACCACCACCACCACCACCATCACCACCACCACCGCCACCATCACTATCACCACCATCACCATCACTACTATCGCCACCACCACTACCACCACCACCTCCACCACCACCACCACCATCACTGCCACCATCACCACCATCACCACCACCACCACCACCACCACCACCATCACTGCCACCATCACCACCATCACCACCACCACCACCACCACCATCACTGCCACCATCACCACCATCATCACCACCACCACCACCGCCACCAGCCCCAGCACCAGCCCCAGCCCCAGCACCACCATCACAGCACGACCCCCTCACGATACAATACACTGTTCTACAAGCGCCTCTCTGCTTCGGCTCTTGTACTCCACAAATCAGAAGTGGGCTTTGTAGTCTTGAAAACGAAAGTTAGGTCGTGCTGCTCCCTTCCTTCAAATCTCCCTGTGTCTTCCACTTCCAAGGCGAGCCAAGGTTGGCCTTGGTCCTTGCTACCTGCTTTACTGGGATCCCCTGCTGCAAGGTCTCCACCTCAGGCCTCTGCACTTCCTTTACCGTCTGGAAAAGTATTTAACTTCCTTAAAGATTTACACATGCTTGGTCCCTCACATCTCCTCGTGTTTTACTTTCCTCCAGACATTCGTCCCACTTGCAGGGATTATGTTTATGGGCTGGTATGGTCAGGAATAAAATCCCTGCTTTCTTGTTTGCCATTGTTATTTGTCACTGCCTAACCGGGGCCTGGAACAGTAGGACTGTGACAAGAACTTGTCAGAAAGAATAAGGGAGGAGTTATCTCCTATGGGTTTGTTGGGTCACTTGCTGGGTGGTGAGGGGAGGCTTGGGGGTGGGCTGGGGGGAGAATTCCAAGGTGCTTCTGAAGGGAGCGAGCCAACAATTTCAACTCAGCTGATGCATACACGTGCACATTTATAAACAGAAGGTCATTTGGTCAAGGACAAGCAGACTAGTTATCATGCATGAGTCCCATGTTCCGAAGCAATGTTGATGTTTGATCCTAAGTAGTTATATTGAATTGCCCAGTTACTAAAGCAGCTTTATTTTATTATTTGTTATTCTTCACGCTGGGCATGTTTTCCTTGCCTTTTCTTTCCCTCCCCCCTTTGTTTATTTATTTATTTTTAAGAAACTGAGACAAAGGCTTAAATAGGAACCTTTTGCACCAAAACAAGACTGCTGCTGCCTGGCCTCAGCTTGCTGATATGCTTCTTTCAACAGTGAATCCAGGCGCATGGCGGAGCCATGATAGGCACAGGTGCAGAATTATTCAACGTCTCTGGGCAACAGCAGTGGGGATTAAACAGAGCTTTCTCTAATAAGATTAATTCCGAAATATGAAGCGCAGTTTGGCATATCCCCAAAGATACAAGGCATTTGTATCTATATAAGATTAAAGGAGCTTTCACACAAAGCAATTTTCTTTTTCAACATCAAAGAGCTGCTCGGAAGAGGCTGCTTGAAGGAGGCACGCAGCATCCGGCACAGCGGTGCAAACGGCTTTCTGGAAAGGCGGCTTGCTCAGCTAGCGATGCCTTTCACTAGCAGGGACACGCAGGGGCATTGTTCCCCGGATCACAGGATTACGGAATAAGGGAAGCCATGGGTCAGGAATCAGGTCCACAAACGCCCCAGACAGGTGGCTCCCTAGTGATAAAACATTGCATTTCCAGAGATGGAGGCTCTAACAAACAATAAATAATGACCCCGAGGCTGGAAATAACAGTGACAGCAAAGATCACAGCCACCATCTATGTGCCAGACACTGCACTTAGCGAATAACAAACAGCATAGCCTCCTACCTCTAACGGTCCCCTTGGGCTTGCAGCCAGCGGCCTTGGGTCTGCTCCACAGTCACACACAGCACGAACACTCTGCACTGAGATGCAGATACTCAGAGTAGCTTTTATTTTCTTACTCTGACCTACATTCAAGTTTGCCTTTTGATCCCAACATAGGTATTTACAGGAATTGGCATCACACTGTAGCATGCTGGGTTTGCCTCACCTGCCCAAGCTGCTCAGAAACTTGTGAGTTGGGAGTGCATCACTCGGTATGTTAACTAGACCTTACATAACTGCTCCTGAAAATGATAAGCTGCCAGGTTCCCTCCTAGCCTTCGCCCTCTCTTATTTTCCTCTTTCTACAAACATTTCCTGCAAGTGTTTCACATGCCAGACATTGTGCTGGGTACTGGGATTCTATAATTACCAAAGGCATACCTGCAGGTAAATACCAAGAAAGCTACTTGCTTATTAAGCTTATTATGTTTATTAAATATAAATTAGGATACAGCATAGTACAATTACAAAATGAATAAAAAAAGAATTCTACCACGAATTGAAATCATAGTATTTGCAAAAGGAGACATTGGGGAACCAGCAGGCAGACAGCCTCAGTTCTGGCTTCTGGAGCCTGAACCTACTTAGGTAGTGCAGTCCCTACTCAGTTAAAAGCTTGCTGGAGGCTGCCCCAAGGGAGCTCCTTTACAAAAGGGGCTAGGCTGATACTGCCCCGTATCCTAGCCATTTCTCCTCCGTCTCTCTGCCTGACTGAGATTTCCCAAAGAGTCAGGAGCAGCTGACTTGGTTGAAGGGTTTAAGTTTGTGCAGGGTTAGAGAGGCGCGAGTCATTCTGTTGGCCAGTGACAGAGTAGGGAGGGTGGAGAGAGAAAGGAATGGGTCTTTTCTAATCTGAAAATGAGCATTTGGTAGTTGGGAAGGCTGGTAGAATCAAATGCAAGGGGACTTTGTATTTAGGATGGCTCCTGAGCTTCTTTTGAGTGTCATTAGTTACCCAGGTCATTTAAAAGCAATCCTTGTGCTGGGATGCAGCTCACTTGGTATTTTGGTCATCTAGCTTGCATGATATCCTGAGTTTGATCCCTAGGATTACATAAACTCTGCCACATACCTGCAGTCCCAGCACTCTGGAGGTGGAGAACCAGAAGTTCAAGGTTATCCTTGGCTACACAGTGAGTTTGAGACTCACCTGGGCTTATGTGTGTTGGAGAACATCTGAAAGGTAGGAGTTAGAAATATTAAGGATGGAGAATGAATGACCTTGGTAGACCCATCATTCTGTGTCCTTGCTCACTGAGGGACACCCTCTCAGCAGTAAGCCCTTTCTGAAGAAAGAAATATTTGCAGTCATGAAGACAGAGAGTGCTGGAAATGTTTTGGCTCTGGGCCAGGTGCCTTGCTTCCCCTGGGATCTATTCTTGAGCCTTTCCCCAGCATCGCTTATAAAAAGCTGACTGCATTGGCTGCTTTGATCAGGCCTACTGATACCTTCTGTTGTAGACTTTAGACAATGCGATCTGGGTGAATAATATTGCTATTGTGACCAGGAATAGTTACAGGGTGTGTTTCCTTGGGACAATGAGTGCCCAGCCATGGGTGAGTGTAGACCACACACCCAGCTGAGCTCTGAAAGCAGAACAAAAGGTTGCCATTGACTGTATCAAAACAAGACAAACGATCTGTGAGTTTGGGGTTGAGGACAGGCTCTGGACTTGAGGAGGGCCAAGCACCTTCCTTTTCTAAAAGGCCAAGGCATCCATGCAGAAGGCCATAGATTCTGAGCTCCGCGTAAGAACTCAGAGTGTGTATAAGTCCAGGGTTCAGCAGAGAGGCAGTAGAAGGTATATGTGTATACATAGAGAGGCGCGCACACGTCATTATAAGATGGGATGAGAAGGCTGTGTGCCTTCAGAGGCAAAGTGGTTTCACGATGGGCATTTGGACCAGGGAATCTGGTGTCCACGGGAGACAGCTGCAGCAGAAACCCTCACACGCTGGGAAGGCAGGGCAGGAGAAGAGCCGGCTTCACCTTCTTCAGCTCCACGTTCGGTGGGCCTCCAGCCTGCTGGATGCTGGCACCCGCATTCAAGGCAGGCTTTTCCTGTTTGCTTCACTGGTTCTCACGCAGGCCTTCCATGGGATCGTTCTCACAGGAGGACGCAGAAGGGCATGTTACTGTCGCTAGGTATTTTTCAATCCAGGGAAGCTGACAACCCGAATTGATCCTCACAAGAGGGTTTGTGGAGCAAAACAGAGTGAAATCAGCTTTCCATTTCTGGTGGGAAGGAAGAACACGGGCAGGTGTTTCTAGATTATCTGAGCTGTGCCTCCTGAGAGGGCTGATTTGATCCACACAGTTGACTGAGATCTAGCGAGGGTGAAGGATTTTTTGTTCAACGCCCTCCTAATGGACATCCTGGGAGAGACAGGAGGTAGGACTTTTCCCTGATTCAGTGCAAAGGGAGTCTCAAGTTTGGGTAGGTAATTGTGGGATGCCTTTCAACAGAGTTGGGGGACATCAAACAAGCCAGTTAATTAAAAACTCCTCCTGCCTCTTGCCTGTCAGACCTGATGTGTCCAGAAGGAGATGACTTAGGCTCTTTCCTCATTGCTGTGACAAAACACTTGACAGAAATAACTTAAGGGAAGATTTATATTGGCTCATGGCTTCCGAGGGATCGGTCCATCATGGTGAGGAAGGTGTGACAGAGAGTCCCACCACAGCAGGAGTGCTTGGCAGGGTGGTCACATGCTGTCTGGAGCAGCAAGCAGAGAACACAGACTGGGACCAGAGGCAATTAAAACCTTTAGTGATCCTGTGTCCCAAAGGTTCCTGTAGCTCCCAAAACAGCGCTGCCAGCTGGGACCCAAGTGTTCAAACACATGAGCTAGTGGGAAACATCTAACATTTAAACCACAACTGAGGCTGTTACTAATGCTATATCATTCAGCACTAAGAGTCAGCCTGGCCCGTGTTTAGTAAGAGGCCAGGCATCCAGATGGGTCATACTCGAAAATGCATCATATGACATTGCTAGTTGAGCACTAGAGCAAGGGCTAGGTTAGTCTTCTGCACACGCAGCACGCGTAGGGCCTGTTCTTCCAGGCTCTTCTTGTGTCCAGGTTCTTCCTCCCAGCTCTCTCTCTGTACTTCTGCAGGCCTCGTGTCTGTTGGCACATCTGCCTCACTCCTGGGACACTCTTCCGCCACAATGCCTGGCACGCTGTCGGGTATCAACAGGAATTTGTATGCACTGACTTGATGAGCTGCAGGAGGAGGCATGCAGGAGACTGACTGCAAATGGTTTGGATGTTTCATCCACTTAAATTCCCCGGTGGGGAAAAGCCAAAGGATGAGTGATGGGCTCAGACTGTAAAAAGGGAGCTGATGAAGACGTGGAGTGGACCACAGGACCCTTGGGGATCATTGGGCTTTTCGCAGAAGGCGTTTAAAAATCCTATTTGGAACAAGGGAAGAAATCTCACTTCTGTAATGGACTGGGGAGTCCTACAGTGTTCTGAGGAATCCAGGAAGTCCCATTACTGCCTTCCTCCGGGGCTGTGTATAAGTCCTCTTATTTAGGTCTCTGGCAGGACCCTGAGTGGAAGGCAGCAGCTGTTTCTCTCGAGGGGAACAATTGATGGTCTACTTTTGTGAGTTTTGCGATCCATACCTGGGACTGGTATAGATCCACATTCCATGCCAGAGACAAATACTAGTTTCCCAAAGTTCCACTGAACCCTCCTGGACCAATCACTACAGTTTTTAGAAGAGACATCCAGTGCCCTGCTGAGACTATATCTTCTAGGAATCTCTCTCTCTCTCTCTCTCTCTCTCTCTCTCTCTCTCTCTCTCTCTCTCTCGTCTCTCTGTCTCTCTCTCTGTCTCTCTCTTTCCTCTCTCTCTGATAAATAGGATTTCATATGTATTAGAATTTGAGGGAGGGTCACTTTGAGCCTGCAGTTGACATAAAGTACTTGTCAAAGCCAACCTTGAGCACAGCGCCCTCTCTTCGCTTCCCCAGGCTGGGTGGGGGGCTGTTTCCCTCCCAACTGACAGAGGAGAGAGGCTGGGTGGGGGTGGGGTGGAAGGAAACTGGGTGACCTGCCTGGGTTACAGGGTAGGTCTGGGCAAGACTGGAGTTTCAGGTTGAGGACTTTTCTCCCTGGGACCTGGGTTCTCTGGGTGGCCAGATCCACTCCTCCTCATTTACATAGCACTCACAGAGCATTGCTCTTTACAAAGGGAAGGATGGGGTCAAGGCAGGGAACAGAAAGCTCAAGTCAAGGTAGCGCTGGCCAGGAAAAAGAAAGCAACAAAGAGGTCTGGGTACTTGGAGCATCTTCGTATCTTCGTTGCTACCCTTGGACTCTGCCACTCCAAACCCTCTCCTCACTTGCTTCCGCCTCTCCAAAGCCCAAAGGCTAGAGGAGCCCAGGCCCAGAGCTCTTACCCAAGTCTGGATCCTGTCCACGAGCCAGCTGTACCTTTCTGATCTCGTTTGGATCAGTCTCCGTTACCATGGGGATGGAACACTCATCTCTGCTACTCTGCTGTTTCAGGCATTCTACACCTTGGACCCTCTGCTTGCCATTCCCAGATGAGGGAGAGGGAGGGAGGCGGGGAGAGTGACTGCTAAGGTAAAAAGACAAGAGGGCATGAATGCTTCCCAGGGCATCCTGGGTGAAACCGGTTGGTGGGATCAACATCTCTAAGCACTTCTTAACATGTTACCCAATCATTTGCCCCTTTGTGTACCATTCCTGGGGCAAAAAGTTGCCTTGAGGGAACAAAGCCCACATGGGTGGAACTGATCTGGGGTCAAGGGGCAGAGGACACCAAAGGTGAAAGTCACAGACTGTGACTCTGAATGGATCGGCTGGCAGCTGGCGGCTGGCATTGTAGGTGGAGCTGTGCTGAGCAGGGAGGTGAGGCTACAGTCTGTTTGTGTACAGGGGCAGGCAGTTCTGCTATTTACACAGAATCTTTATAAGAAAGAGAGCTGGATTCTTAAAGTGTGATAATCTGGTGTGGTTTTCCATTCTAAATAAACGATTGTGTTTGTGCTTAACCCTGTTACTGCAATTCTTTGTCTCCTTTCTGAGGGTCTACCAAACCAAACAAGCTGCAGGTATCTGGGAATAAAGGATCGTGAGGACTGTGTGCCTATCATGTGCTCCTGGCTCTTAATGTCTCTG